ACACACACACCACACACACACACACACAGGGAAAGGAAAGACGAGCAAAAGAATGGGCTTTGCATTGCCTGCGGTGAGAAGGGGGTGAGGGGAGGCGGCTTGGTGGGGAAAGTCAGGAATTCCATTGAGTCAAGCTGGCCAGGAGCGCATCTACATGGAAGGTAGGAATTTTGAAGGCATTGCTGAATCAATGTTTTTAGACCTGTGGCACTGAATGAGGCCACCAAGGGGGACAGAAGAGAGGATGTCCCAGGAGTGGGCTCAAGGTGAGCGCACTCTCATTTGCCTTGAGAACCTGGGGCATGGGTGGGTAGATGACGTGCTCACGTTCTCATGCTTCCTCTCCACCAGAGGGCGCAAACCATGGCCCTGGACTCAGTACATACCTGGGGTTCTGAAGTACAATCGGAAGTGAAAACAAAACGATCATCGTTTCATTTATAAAATGTTTAAAGGATATTATTCAGACAATGGTGATTGCATTTGTTTGTAAAGACCTATTTATGACTCTCAAATAATTCTTAAATTACTGTGAGGGACAGAACTGGCTCTTCTGTCTCAAAAGGTTGCCGACCCCTGCTCCAGAGCATAATTGCTTGCTTTCCTCAGGAAAGTCTGTTTTTAATTCTTGATGCTGAAGGAGAAACGTCTCCTTTCTGACATTCCCCAATTCCATGTTCGAGAAACTTCCAGCTATTTGCAATCTGTTTAAGGTTACAGCTGAAGTTCTGTAACGTTTTCAGCTTTTGTAAATGCAACTTGGGTCACCCAAATACACCTATTTCTGATCTTCTTGCGCCCTCGTTCATGAAATAATAGATTTCATAAACAGGTCACATCCATCTAATCAGCAACCGTTATATGAGTACCTTTCGGTGCAATTTTTGGCATCATGCACAAATAAAAATTAATAAAACGTTGCCCTTGCCTTCAAGGAACTCCCAGTTTGTGCAAGAGGCAGATATTCAGCAAAGAAAAGCAATCCAGTGTGATGTATGCATGTTGAGTAGTTCAGACGGGGCACAGAGAAGGTAGCGAAGTGTTCTCCTGTGTCAAGGTCAGGAAGATTTCAGAGAGGAGCAGCACTTTCAGAGGAGTCCTCCAAGCAGTTATGAGGGAGCCAACAACACTGTCCCCCTCACCCTCCTTGGCACTTCACCACCAGTGCTGGTGATACGTCGCCCTCACCTTCGTGTGGGCACAAGGCTGGGGGCATGCCTGCATCCTCCCTGAAGCAGTGTCCTGCTCTCCTGTCCACCCAGCTCCCCATCTCAACTAGCCTTTCAGACTGCTCATGGTAAAGAGCCGTGCATGAATACATGAAGTCCCTGGTGGTTCTCACGACCTCCGACTAAGTCAACCAGGCCGCAGACATGACACTTTGGTGAGGGATGGAAATTTCAAGAATGTCACAGTAAAAATGAAAAGGTTAGAGATCTGACCTACCCCTGGGCACAAAGGGCAAATCTGGAGGACGGCAAAGTTGCTGCAGAGAGCAGTATTTCCCAAAGTGGGCAAGAACACCCCGCAGGGGGGCTGCAAACGCAAATCCCTACACTCTATCCTGGATTGTGGGCTACAAGTCAAAACGGTTTAATTGCCTGCGGGGCGATGTTCTTCCTGAAAAGGAGGCAGTAGGCCAAATAAGTTTGGGACGCATCTGCTAGAGCACGCAGACGGGTCAAAGCCAAACAGACTCTTAGCGCTGTCTGCTGCTCCAAATAGCGCAGTGCTGGTGGACACGACAGTGGTCAGTTTGCACCCCAGTCACACGTGCCTGACTGCTGTGCGCATTTAAAGTCATCCAGGTCGGCTGAGACTAACCCCCACCCCCTCCAACCCCTGAGCCCTCCCGGCAGGTTTCTAGGTGGCGCACTGATACTTACGGCTGGCCCTGGCGGCGGTAGCAGCTGCGTCCACCGAGTCCATGGATACGTCTGTCACCAGGATGACCACTGCCTTAGAGGCTGCAGGCCTGGCACCATGCACTTCTGAAGTTATGTACCGCACAGCAAAGCCCAAAGCATCCCCTAGGAAGGAAGATAGGACCACGTCAGGTCAGCATGCTGGGGGGGCAAGTGAGGTTTTTGATCAGCCAGTCAGCATCCTGTTTCCCAGTGTATACTTAAATCCGTAAAACCGGATGATCCAGAAACTCAAAGAAGCATTCAGGCTTAGATGTGCAAGACACCTGGAGAGGAAGCTAGCCAAGGTCCAAAGAGCAAAGGGGCAACTGACGACTGTCAATCGCTTAGGCCAAGCACTAGGACCAGAGCAGGGGTCCCTGCATGCCAGTCCGGGGCCCCACATTACCAACTTGGCTGGGGCCACCTTCCTGCTGCATGGGGTCCACCAAGCTGATTAACTGGGTGGGCTCCAGGGCCACGGTCCACTGCACATCGATGGTGGTGATGCTCCCGTACTGCAACACTGACACCTGGGTGCGATGCGGCCCTGAGGGGAAAGGAAGCCAGACTCACACTGTGAAGTAAGGTGGAGTCCCCCCCCCTCCCCCAGGGGAGGACCTCCTCTAAAGGGCCCTCACTCACCTATGTTGGCCTTGGCGATGAAGGCCTTGGCGAAGCTTTTCATTTCCTCAAAGGAAGTGGGTGAAACACCAGAGGAGCCATCCAGGAGAAGAACCACATCCAGGGGCTGGCTGCAGTCTGCAAAGGGGACCAGGGAGGCTGGCACACAAACGCCCGTAGATAGAGGGGGACTGGGCCACCAGGTCCACGTCAGTCGGTGCCACAGTGTACTGTCGACCATGTGGCACCATGAGGAAAGGGGTCTCCATTATCCCCGAGGGATGGCGATATGGGCCAAGGAGAAGGGGAAGAGGGAGAGGGAGTTCCCTGGACCCCGGGGTACCCAAGTTTGGGAACACCAGGAAGATCCCAACTCCTCCCAAAGCTACTTTAAAATCCACTCAGGTCATTAGCTCCCTCATAGGAGGAGGCTGCTCCTGTTCTAGAACTGAGTGAGCTGTGGGTGATGGCAAGAAGCCGTGGTGGTGTAGTGGTTATGCGTTGAGCTGCGATCCGCATGGTCTGCAGTTCGAAACCACCAGCAGCTCCTCAAGAGAAAGACTGGGTGGCTCTCCACTCCTGTAAACAGTTACAGTCTTGGAAACCCACAGGGGTCGCTATGCGTCAGCACTGCCTCGATGGCAGTGAGTTTGGGTTGGGTGAAAGCTGGCCAAGGAAAATGAAAGAGCACATCCCTGGCGCACGAGCTCTCTGCTCTCGGGTCTTACGTGGAGGTGAGGGTTCTATGACCAGTCGTCGGTCACTACCGAGTCATGTCCAGTCCAGCTCACGGCAGCTCCACATGGATCAGGGCAGAACAGTGTTCTGTGGGGTTCCCACTGGCTGAGGTTTCCAGAAGTAGAACACCAGACCTTTCAAGGTACCTCTGAGTGGACTCAAACTGCCCACTTCTGGTGAGCAGTGGAGTGCATTAACCACCCAGGAAGTCTAAGGTATTCCAATGATAAATGCCCGGTGCTCATTTTAATGTTTGGAGACAAAGTCAGGATCATAGTAAGGAAACAGCAAACTCAGTCCAAACTTAATGCCATCGGGGCAATTTCTATTCATACCTGCATTCATAGCAGGACGGCCCCTGTGGGCTACCAAGACTATATATCTTTACAGGCAGAAAGCCCCGTCTTTCTCCTGTGCAGTGACTAGTGGGTTTGAACTGCCGACCTTGTGGTTAGCAGTCCATGGCACAACCCACTATGCAACCAGGATTCCTCCATGGAAATAGCTGGTATAAACACTACTCTGAGCCTTGTTAAGATAAGAGAATGCTCTTACTGCTCTCTTCAGCAGAAATGTCACAAACATCTAAATAAATCTGTGACTCTCTTTACAAACAACAAAATTTTAAAAGAGGTGCTGATGGCAAGTGTGAGCATCAAGCTAGTTATTCTGGCACAGCCCCAAACACATCAAATAATGATGTGGAAGAACTAGGAACTGATGGCCCCAATCCACACAGCTAGTAAGTAGCAGAGGTTAAGATTCATGTTCAAGCAGTCTGGCTCCAGAGTCTGAGGCCTGACTCTGCTGCCTGTCACCTGACTTCCCCAACATATGGCCCTCTAGGGCCGTGCTCTAAAAAATCCAGCCTATTCATAATAACCTCATCTGCCCAGGTCCAAAGTGAGCTGACACTCACCAGAATGAATCAGGCTTATAGGCAGGAGCGGGACCGGTTAAGAACGAGGCTTTGTGCTCAAGTTTATATTCCAGATACTTGATATTGCTTAAATTCTAACCTGAATGGCCTTCACATATAAAAGCACACACAATAAGAAAAGACCCTGCCCATCCAACAAACTCTCGCTGCCTAGGAGGTGAGGAGACCCACACACACTGAAGGCAGGATTTCGACTAAGGTACAGAACAGGAAGCCAGGATTTGAGCCCACGAATCCTGATGGCTGGTGCAGGCCAGGCCCCGACCCTCCCACCTGGACACAAAGGCCCCTGTGTTACCTGGGGCTGGGGCGAGGGTAGGGATCCTCAGCCCCTCCTCTGAGCAGCACCTCTGCAGCACCAGGTCTGGGGCCTCTCGGGGAAGAGTCTCAAAGTCCTGGATGAGAATGGGTGCGTTGGGCCAGCCCATCTTCTCCAGCTCCTGCGCACTGGCATGAGGCCCCACTCCAATGGGCACCAGCTGGATGTCTCCAGGCAGCCGCTTGATCTCGTCAGAGGCGGGGTTGGCTGTGACCATGTAGACCAGGTTGGGGGCCTGCTTACGGTCCCCCTGGCTGGAGGAGAAGCTGTGCTCAGAGAGGTACTGTAGGGCCAGCCCGGTGTTGGTCCTGTTGCCACCCAGGTAGCGTAGCTCCCGCACGCGCTGCAGGATGCCAGCCTTGGACTGTGCCTCACGGAAGGTGTGCTCCACCGTGACCACGTACGAGTACTGTAGCACAGTGACGTGGATGCTGTCCTGGCCCACGTCCATCCGCCGGATCACCTCCTCCATGAACTCCCTGCAGCGGTTGAAGCTGGCCTCGCCAACCTTGTCTGAGCCTTCCAGGACAAATGCCACATCCAGGGCCAGGGACTTCCTCGTGGGCCCCAGGGATGGGTCCTTCGAAAGGCCAGGACCCACAGTGACTTGGGCCATGTCGGGGGGCTGAGTTGAGGCTGGGGCTTCGGGTGCCAGGTCGCAGAGGTAGTTGATAATCTCGTCCCTCCTCTGCTCCAGCTCATCCACGCTGCTGAGCACGAAGGCCTTGTTCTCGGGGGCCTGCTTCTCGATGAGGCGGAGCTGCTTGAGGCTGGCGTGGGGCCCGAGGCCCACTGGGATCACGATGGCCTTCTTCTTCTTCAGGCCCTGTGCATAGCGGGCCAAGTTCCGGGCCAGCCGGGGTGGCTCCTCGCTGGCTGTCAGGAGCAGGACCACGCGGGAGGCTTCGGGGCGGTCCACCTTGCTGAAGACCTGGAACAGCGTGTACTTCAGGACCTCGGTGGTGGAAGCCACCTGGCTGCCCGCGTACTTCACCTGGCCCGCAATGCGCCGCAGCTCCGAGGGCCGCTTCCGGTCCTTGAGTTCGATGTAAGAGTGTGAGCCGTCATGGTACTCCACCAGGGCCACCCGGATGCGTTTCTGGGAGATGTGCAGCCGCTCCATCATGCCCACCACAAAGGCCTTCAGCACCTCAAACTCGGCCTCGGACAGCTTGGAGGAGCCGTCGAGCAGGAAGACCAGGTCGAGCAGCTTGCTGCAGTACAGGTCGTGCATGGGGACCTCGGGGATATCCTCCTCCACGTACGGCGTGGTGGCACTGACCGGAACTTCTGTGGGGGGCAGCCCGGGGCCTCCTGGCCCCGCGGGGCAGGCTTCACAGGTCAGATTGGTACCATCGCATTCACTGTGGCGCAGGGAAGACAGGAAACCGTTCAGGAAGAGCCCGTGGGCATGGCCCACAACTGTACTGGTTAGTTTTGTATCAGCGTGGTGAGGCTATGGTTCCCAGGGGTTTAGCCAAACACTGGTGTGGTTGCTGCCCCGGCACGCAATCTCATGTCAATGACACCGGAACATCCTTTCACACTGTTACCTAATGCAGTGCAATCAATCCATTTACAGGAACGTTTCCCTGGGCGTGTTCTGCCTCCAGACTGTAAACAGACCTTGTGGCAGAACTTCACTCTTCACCCCTCGCCACCTGACCTACAGCTGTGGGGCCCACGCCCGCCAGGCATCTCCAGCCAGTTGTCTGACCCACAGATGTTGGACTTGCCAACCCCCACAAACAAGGAGCCACACGTCTCCAGACAGCCCAGCCCCCTCTGAATCTGATTCTAGAAGTCTAAGCTGCAACCCATTCTTGGTGGTAGAAATGATGTTTTTGCTTCTAGATCATGCACTGAAACTGAAACCCATTGAAGTAAATCAATGTGTGTGTGTGCGTGTGTGTGCATGTGTGCGTGTGTGCACACAGATACATGAGGATGCTTAGAAAGGTTCATGGACAAATTAAGTTAAAGGAAAATGAAATGTTTCCATGAAGCATTTGAAGCCCGTGGGTGGGTGTGAGCTCATGGGTTCTGTTGCCCTAGAGACCGACTGGGATGAGAACCACTGCCAGGCACCGCCTGCCTGGCCCACCTGAATGTGGGCTCCCACTAAACACGCCCCATCGAGGGAGACGTCTTTGCTTTTGTGGATGGTTCTGCTCTACTGGCAAAGGCCTGCTCCCCTTAGCAGCTGCACGCATGGTCCACTCTATCTCTTTCAAACACACAGACCTTTCACTTCCTTGCCCCTGATGCCTCTTTTAGCCTCATCTCCCATTCTTCCCAACACTCCATATGCCAAGCTCCTACACTGGCCCGTGCCTCCATGCCTCCGCACAGGTCATTCCTGCTCCTGGGAACCCACTCCATGGTCTCCCTGAGTTCTGCAAATTCCACCTCCAAGACCAGAGACATCATTTGTGAAGCATGTCTCCAAAGGGCACCGCCGCCTCTGAATCAGAAAGCCCTTGATTCTAGAAACCTAAACGTTAACCCATTCTAGGCCATGCACTGAAACCCATAATTACTCAACATGTCTTCTCAATCTAAGGCTCTGGCAACACAGATGTTTAATTATAGCCGCCTGTTGCTGCAAGTGGCTCCAAGATTGACTCTGAGAACAGTTCTACTGAAAGTCAGTGCTCCGTAGGACCTGTTAGAGCACAGTTTTACTGGCACAGATTTCAGACCATGCCTTGGGTTCAGGGGGGCGAGCTGTTGCCCAGGGACCATGGCGTTAATGTCAAAGGTGCTGGAACAATGTGGGAAAGGTTATCAACAATGGTTGCGTAATACCAAGAGTATCACCAATGGCACTGAGTTGAAGTTGTAGCACTGGAGAACGTTCGTTTCATTGCGTGTATCTTTGCCACAATTAAAGAATAATAATTACACTAATCACAATGAGTACAAGAAGAAAAACAATATTCTAAAATTGGCTGTGATGAAGATTGAACAACTCTTCTTGATATGATTGAACTATTGACTTGTGAGACATGTGGATGAAATTAAGTGCTAATAAAACTGTTCTTAAAATTTTGAGCCATGTTTAATAATGGGCCTCAAAGAACAGAGGACAAACAGAAGTAAAAAAGTTTTGGAAAGCTGGAGAGAGACTCAAAAGTCCCAGCTTTATCTAGGCAGGCTAGAGTTCTTGAGGGTAATGTACAAGAGTCTCCATGGTATTAGACATAGGAGGAAATAAACGTCCCCTTCATTCCTTCGTTCATTCTCCCAAAGGACAAGTCTGGAGCACCTATACTATGCCAGATACTAGCCAGACCCTGGGCCTGGTCCAAAGGACGTGTCACTAATCTGTAGCAGAGCAGATGCCTACACACACACACACACACACACACACACACAAAGTCCTCCATTACAAGCCAACTTTCTTGACCCTTTGAGTCATATCGCCTTTACCCATGTCCAGTTCAGACAGGGTATGCCACACCACCAAAAACCAAAAGCCAAACCCTCAAACCAGTTGTTCTCCAGCCAACCCCAGGTCACTGTGCTATAGAGCGGAACTGTCCCATCGGGTTTTCAGAAGCAGAGAGCCGGGCTGTCTTCCGAGGTGCCTCTGGGTAGACGTGAACCTCCGCCTTTCAGTTAGCGGTCAAGTGTTTCTCGGGTGCCTATGCCTGACCACGAGTGAAATCAATTGCCCCTGAAGTAGAGACCCATCCAGGCTAGAGCCTTCTCCCTCAGCCTTTGGGGTCACTTGTCACTCCCCGAACAGGGCGGAAGGGCCGCCGACCCTGAGCCCTGGGAAGCAATGCTCTGTGGCTTCACTGTCCAGCAGTGTCTCTCCAGCCAGCTCTGGAAGGACTGCCAATACCCTGTTTGAAGTGGCAGTGTGAACGTGCCCCCTGGGTGTGGTGAAGGATAGGAGAGGGCTGGAAGCTCTCGGGCCAGCATCGGATGCACCCAACCTTTACTGCTGACAGTCTCAATGTCACCACAACACCAGGGCGCAAGCAGGGAAGGCAATTCCTACTTTCTCATGGCCCACACAGTGAACTGCTTTCCTGCTTGGCTAACGGTGTGTGAGTGACATACTTTCTAGTTTCCTGTGTTTGCCAGAACACTCGCCCCAGGCCATTTTAGCTCTTGTTTGTACAGATGGTGGCGGCGTGATCAGACTCTGGCAGCTGTGGCCACAAGCAAGTGGACCTTCTCAAGTGTAAGTTCCCATAAAGCTTGATTGGTGTCAAGAACTGGCGTCGAATAGATCAAGTTTAATAAATGTTCCCTGCTCCTCCTGAGACAAGATCTGAGGAAGTTCAAAGCCCTCTGCCCCCCACCCCCACCCCACC